TTTTATGTCCTAACATTTGGCCTGATACGGCAGATATTCCATGTGTACTTGAGAAAAATATATAATCTGCTATTTTGGAGTAAAGTATTCCATATACATCTATTAGGACTACTTAGTTTATAGTGTTCTTCAGCCCTCTTCATCCTTGTTGAGCTTCTGTCTAAATGTTGTACTCATTATTTAAAGTGGAGTATTGAATTCTTCAGCTATTATTATAAAACTGTATTTCTCCCTTCAATTCTATAATTGTTTATATATTTAAGGGCTTGGTTGTTTGGTACGTGTACATTTATAGTTATTATATCTTCTTGATGAATTGACTCTAATCAATATATAAGCTCTCTTTTCCCTTTTGTGACAGTTTTTGACATAAAGTATATTTTGTTTGGTATTTTATCTGTTCCAGCTCTTTTCGGTTATTATTTTCAGAGAATATCTTTTCCATTCTTTCATTTTCAGTCTATTTGTGTCTTTGTATCTGAAATCAGTGTCTCTCTTTTTTTTTTCAATTCCAGTATAATTAACATCCAGTATTGTATTAGTTTGACATGTACAATATAGTGATTCAGAAATTCTGTACATTACTCAGTGCTCATCATGATAAGTATACTCTTAATCCCTTCACCTGTATCACCCATCCCCATCTATGGTCACCATCAATTTGTTCTCCAAAAGTGTCTGTTTTTTTGTCTTTTTTTTCCCCTTGTTCATGTTTTTGTCCCTTAAATTTTACATTTGAATGAAATTGTATGACATTTATCTTTCTCTGACTGACTTATTTAAAGTGAGTCTTTTTTGGGGCACCTGGGTGGCTTAGTCGGTTAAGCATCTGACTTCAGCTCTCGTCATGATCTCGCAGTTCTTGAGTTTGAGCTCTGTTTTCGGCTCTGTCCTGACAGCTCAGACTCTGGAGTCTGCGTTGGATTCTGTGTCTCCCCCACTCTCTCTGTCCCTTCCCTGCTTGTGCTCTCTCTCTCTCTCTCTCAGTCGCTCAAAAATACATAAGTAAACGTTTAAAAAAAGGATCTCTAAAATGTGACAAGCCACTCTCTTACTTTCAAGATTCTTTTTTGGGGAGCTGAATTCCAAAAGATTGATAATAATTTATCTCAGTGTGGGTCTCTTTTCTCTTGATCATTCTTGGAGTTTGTTGTGGCTGGCCTTTGGATTTGTGGTGCATGTATTTCATCAAAATTGGGAAGTTTATGGCCATTTTTTCTTCACATGTTATTTCTGCTTCCTCTTGTCTCTTCGCTTTCTGAGACTCCCATAATGTGTATGTCTTTCTTGTTAATGGTGTCCACAGTTTTCGTAGGTTCTGTTCACTGTTCTTCATGTTCTTTCTGCTGCTCAGATTCAATAATTTTCCTTGTTTCATCATCTAATTTGCTGATTCTTTCTTCAACCTGCTCTGTGTCTGTTGTTGGGCACTCTGGAGAATGATTCATTTTTGTTATTTTACTTTTTCACTCCAGCATTTATGTTTACTTCCCTTTAATAATTTTTTTCTTCATTGATATTCTTTTGGTTTATACATTGTTTTCCTGGTTTACTGTAGATTTTTTTTCATGTTTTTTTCCTTAGTATATTTAAGACATTTTAAAGTTTTTGCCTTGTAAATCTGATATCTGGGGTTCCTCAGGAATGGTTTGTGTTAATTTATATATTCCTTTGTTTAGGCCATACTTACCTCGTTTTTCTTGTATGCCTTGTGATGTTTTGTTGTTGTTGAAAGTGGAGCATTTGAGTATGATAATGTGGTAATTCTGGAAGCCAGATTCTATCCCTTATTGAAGTGTTTTGCTTTTTTAACTGTCAAAGGTTATTTAGGTAATCTCCAAATCTGTATTTCTAAGAGTCTGTTCCTTATTGTGTAAGCTCACTGAGGTTTCTATCCTTAAGCTTTTGTTCACCTCATGTGGTGTCACAGGTTTCCTTGACGCCAGGAGCCAAAACAAACAGAACACAAGGAAAAGGAAAAGCCCAAACAAACACAGTACACACATCCACAGCCACAAAACAAATCCCTCTCCCAGTCTTTGTATTGACTCCATACAGAGAAAGTCTTTCAATACTTATCCATACTTGCACTGAGCTCAGAGGTAATCCCAGGGTGAAACTTTGGGTCTTAATCAAAGACTTTTCTGTCTTTTCATGTCTTTTCTGAGCATGCATCTTTCTCTGAGCCTATGTGTGGTTTTCTAAACTTTCCAAGATGAATGAGTATTTTTGAATGTCTTAATGTCTCAAAGAATCTCCCACAGCTTTTGCTTCCATGCCTTGGGCATTCTGTTGTGTATCTGAACCAATAATCTTTTACTGTACACATCTGTGTTTTGTTAGTTTACCTTGTGATATATTTGAGCCATATCCTATTTTTCAGTCTGTGTTACCAGGTAGGTTAAACAAGACATAATCACTTTGCATCATTCCTTCAGGTAGCCCTCAGATAAATTAGATACACATAGTAATTTGCTAGTGAAGTCTGTTCTGCTTCCTTCTGAACCAAGGACCAGTATCTCCTACTCGGAACATGGGCTACTGTCATTCTAAAAATATAACTGCTTTAAGATTGCCAGGCTTTAAAGTGGTCAACTTATTGGAGACAGTGTGGAGAAGGGCAAATGAAAACTCCATAAATCTTTTGTCCTATTTTTAAGTTGCTTTTATTTTTGGCTCAGCGTTTTTTTGGTTGCTGTAAATATTTGAATGTTATTTTTCTTTTTATTCTTTTAATTTTTTTTTCAACGTTTATTTATTTTTTGGGACAGAGAGAGACAGAGCATGAACGGGGGAGGGGCAGAGAGAGAGGGAGACACAGAATCGGAAACAGGCTCCAGGCTCTGAGCCATCAGCCCAGAGCCTGACGCGGGGCTCGAACTCACGGACCGCGAGATCGTGACCTGGCTGAAGTCGGTCGCTTAACCGACTGCGCCACTCAGGCACCCCGAATGTTATTTTTCTAACATTAGTTCTGAGAGTTTCTGCTTGTTTTTTCATATTTCTGCCAGGGCAAGAGTGCTTGGAGCTGCCTACTCTGCCATTTTCTTGATGTCACTCATCACCTTCATTTTTTTTTTTTAATTAAAAAAATTTTTTTTATGATTATTTATTTTTGAAAGAGAGAGACAGAGCATGAGTGGGGGAGGGTCAGAGAGAGGGAGACACAAAATCTGAAGCAGATTCCAGGGTCCAAACTGTCAGCACAGAGCCCAAGCAGGGTTCGAACTTGCAAACCACGAAATCATGACCTGAGCTGAAGTTGGACACTTAACTGACTGAGCCACACAGACGCCTGTTGTCACCTTCATTTTGAAATGATAGCTTTACTATATATATGATTCTGTGTTAGCAGTTTTTTTTTCGTTTGAGCACTTTGAATATGTTATCTCACTGTGACATCTATTGTTTCTGAAGAAGAGTCAGTTGTTAATCTTACTGAGGTCTCTTGAAAATGAGGAGTGGTTTTTCTCTTATGGTTTCTAAGATTTTTTCTTGGTTTTGGCTGTCAGTATTTTTACTATGATATGTCTGTGGATTTCTGCATGTACAGTCCATGGAGGTTTTGTGCTTCTTGGATGTTACATTAATTTTTTTCATCATTGTTTGGTAGTTTTCAGTCATTATTTCTTTGAATATTTTTTCTGTTTCTTTATTCTCTTACCTCTCCTTCTGGTAGTTTCATTATGCTCTGTTGGTGCACTTAATAGTATTCCACATTTTTCTGGGGCTATTGACTATTGTTATTCTTTTTTCTTGATTTATCTTCAAGTTTTTTCTTATTTTTGCCATCTCCTATTGAATATTCAGCTCCTCTTGGGAACTTTTTGATGCTCTTCATTTTGGTTGTTTTGCTTTTTAGCATCAGAAATTCCACTTGGATGTTTAAAAATAACCTATATCACTTTATGGTGTTTTTTATTAGGTGAGACTTTGTCATGTTTTTGAAGCATGGTTTTCTTTAGTAATTTTTTATTGACTGCTTCTTCTCCTCTATGTATGGATGACACTTTCCTCTTTTTACATGTTGTAATTTTTGTTGGAAAATGGACATTTAAAATTGTATAGTAGAGCAGTTTGGGATACTGATTCCTCACTACCCATCCTCATTGTAAAATGTAAAATATTTTTAATATCTATTTTTGATTTTTAAAATTGTTTCATTTTTTAAATACTTAAATTTTTAAATCTAATTTTAAAATTAGAGTGCCTAAATTAGAGTGCCTAAAGCCTGGTGCTCACTTCTGCAAATAATCAATGTATAGTATTTATGTGGGTATACTTTATGTTTAGATATGTTTATTTACTACTTTATGAAAATAATCAAAATTAGTTTTGTAATATATTTTGGAAAAAATATAGCTAAAAGTAACATCAATTTTGAAATGTTTCACAGTGTAAGCAATAGAGAATTATCTGGAGGAAAAGGCCGACTTTGTAAAACTTGGGTAAAATTTCACCATAATCAGGAAAACTGAACATGATCTGAATCTCAAATATTATACAATTATGTTGATATTTTTTATAGTTCTGTCCCTTTTTTTCCCAATGTGTGTACATTTAAAATAGAGGAAATAATGAAATATCTGCCGTTTGTCCTGGCTACTCTTTAAGTAAATGAACTAATTTTTTTATTCATATATACTTTCACTATACAATAATTTCCTTACACAATAATAGCTTTTTCACTATACAATAATTTCCTTACTATAATTTCAATAAGTACATTTCTACTTTGATTTTCAAATTTAATTGCTTCACATTCTTAGTTTTTGTACCAAGGCACTATGATACTTTTTCATTTTCTGGAAAAAGTAAATTGCAACTGGTATTAAAGTTATTGTTTGTACTAAATATTTTTTTAGTTAAGTGAAAACAAAAAAAATTAAAACCATTACCAATTTTTTACTGTAATTTTTTAGATTAGTTGAATATAATATACTTCATTTCTTATTTGATACTTATTATGTTTGATTATGATATAAGTGCTCTGATTTTAGGCCTTTGAAGATGATTTAATTGAAGCAAGAAAAGAAATTGAGGTATCACAGAGTAAATATAATGCTGTGTCATTACAGTTGAATAATAAACAGACTGAACTTATCCAGAAGGATATGGATATTACCCTTGTCAGGCAAGTATATTCAATTTCAAATGTAATATTATAGCACTGTCATTAGTTATTCAGAATGGCAACATATATGTTTATTATTAACACTCTAAAATGACAACAATAGGTCTTCTATGAAGACATATGTTTATATATTGAAATGATCTGGATTTTATTTATTTAAAAAAATTTTTTTTTTTTAACATTTATTTATTTTTGAGAGAGAGAGAGACAGAGCATGAACAGGGGAGGGGCAGAGAGAGAGGGAGACACAGAATCGGAAGCAGGCTCCAGGCTCTGAGCGATCAGCCCAGAGCCTGACGCGGGGCTCGAACTCACGGACCGCGAGATCGTGACCTGAGCTGAAGTCAGAGGCTTAACCTACTGAGCCACCCAGGCGCCCCGAAACTATCTGGATTTTAAATACCAAACTGGGAATCGTTAACTGAGAGAATCAAGGGTTGCACAGGATTGGGAAGAGCATTCTTAAAGATTGGTTTTGTTTCCATTTTTAATAAGCATAATGCATTCATTCATTGTTTCCTTCTAAAATTCCCAGCTGGGTATTATATGATATTCATTATTATTATTTATAATAGGCAATATATGAGAAATCCAATTTTGACTTTTTATTTTATTATGTTCTACATAGATTTAGTTTATGAGATATTCTTTCTATATCAAAATAGTTAATTTTGTAGTGCTATGCAGAAAGTAGGATTCCTTGAAAAATATGTTTTCAAGTGTTTTGAAAGATTTTAAACTACCTATTAATTTATTTCATTTACCTTTATCAGAAAACGATATTAGAATAAGTCATAAATATGTAGGTATATATGCATGCATATCACATATATACGTTATCTATATATACACATGCCTACATTATATACATGTGTGTATGTATGTACATTTTTACTTAAACTAATTAAAGTAATCATACAAAGTTGGGGCACCTGTGTGGCTCAGTCCGTTAAGCAGCTGACTTCAGCTCAGGTCATGATATCATGGTTCCTGGGTTTGAGCCCTGCATTGGGCTCTGTGCTGACAGCTTGGAGCCCGAAGCCTGCTTCTGATGCTGTGTCTCCCTCTCTCTCTGCCCCTCTCCCACTCACGCTCTCTCTCTCTGTCTCTCAAAAATGAATTAACGTTAAA